GAGAGTCACTCTTTGTCGATTTCTCCAGTTAAATAAACACAGTCCGTCACAAAAGCCCTTCTCCTCGTGTTTTTCTCTCTCTCCCTCTCTCTTCCCCCCCCCCCCTCTCTCTCTCTCTCTCTCTCTCTCTCTCGCTCTCGCTCTGTCTCTGTCAACTGTTATTTTATAATTTAAGTTAAATTACGTTTTTTTTAATGTCCGAAACTAATATGTACACCCACACATATAGAGTGTCCCGCGATTCGCAGTAGTTTTTGTCGACCGATTCGGGCCCGATGTTTCGCCTCTGGCGGTTAATGCCAAGAGAGATAACCATTCATCTCGAGAGCTCGCGACCCCTGCACAATTTTTAAATTAAAATTCTATTTTTACGTCCACTTGGAATTAATTTGAGAGTACAATTTTGTCGCGCATTTTCTCTCGCCCGGAGCGCAGTTGGCTCAACTGAAATCTGCTCGTTTTCGGTAGTTAATTATTTGGAAACAGTGCATTCGGGAGTGGAGGGAGAGGCTCGTCGAGATGCAGATACGCATCCTCCTGTCACAGTCGGGAGAGAAATCCTTCATAAAACAACGAGACACAAAACAACGCTAATAGAAAATAAATGTGAACATGAATTAACATATTAACTGACACATTGATATAAAATATGAATTCTCTGCGAGAGTTTCACGCACAGATTCATAAATAAATGTAAATCGTGGCACGAGAGTAAGAGCCTTCGTGGATTGATCTTCATTGAGGGAGGAATGAAGATTTAATCAAGATTTCTCTTCATAAAAATGCATATTAATAATGTCATAATGGAATGAAAGATGCCACCGCGTAATAGAATAAGCCCGCCTACTAACAAAACATTTTCCAACACAACATCTGTTTCCTCTTTGACAATCTTTTCTCCCTCCATCCGCCTCCTGCCGCCTCCTGCTGCCTCCTGCCGCCTCCTTTTGCCCCATTCCATTCGCCTCTTCAACCGCCTTCAGTCTATCTCGGCCAATATTTTTCTCAATTTGCCGTCACGGCGGGCACGTAATCTACTCCGAGGACAATCTGGCCGCTTCTCTTCCTTCCGGAAGCATCCTCGATTATCCCCGAAAACCTCGACGCATCCCGACCGCTGATAAAATTGTCAATCTTCGACAATGATAACAAAGCGGACAGCTGGAAAATCGTTATCGCGAGGCCACTTTATCTCAATTCTCCGGGAGAGACAATCGTCGAATTCTATTCCTGCTACCGAAAACCATTGTCGAACATTCTCTCCTTCCTCTCTCATTATTGCTTAATCCCCCGCCTCTTTAATTCACGGCAAATTATGTCACCGCCCGAAATCTGTTCTCTTCCTATCAAAAACGTGAATTTGCGTCTCTCATCGATTTGTGACTCTACCGCCATTACGCCGACGCTTTTTTCGCGTCGGTCTTCATCCTCTCTCTTTGCTGAATGCAAATTTTGCATTATTGGCCCGATGCAGCCGATACCCGAAATACGGGTGTTTATGCGGCGGCCGGCCGTTCGCGGGAACGCGCGAGAAAATAGCGGGCGACCGATAACGGGGGCCGATAACGGCGATCGGCGTGAATCCAACGGCCGTCAAAAGTGCTCGGTGCAGGCGCATTTCGCGTGCCTTTAATTCGCAGCGGCGGGCGCAATTTTTTTGCCGCGCTCGCGCAAACTCATCCAATCTCGCGATCAATTACGCGCCCGCGCTAAATGCAGAGGTGCAATCGCGTTGCCCTCTTTTTGTTTTACCCCTTTTTTTTTCTCGTGTTTCGTCTTTTTGCCAGTCGCTCTTTTTTTCTCGCTGCACGCTCGCGCGCGCCGATTTCGTATCAAGTGATAAAGGCGGGCCGGGCGCGTGTCAAACAATAGAAGTGCGCTGCATTTCTGACGGCGAGATATTTGCAGATTCCCTTTGAGGCAGGAACGCGCGCGACAGAAATTTCCAAATATTTTCTCTCTCTCCTTGTCGCGCTAAAAGCGGTGATTACACATCGGCCAATAAGAGGATTATCTCGCGCCCGAGCAATAAAGGGCTCTGGGAATTAATCTTTCGATGAAAGGCTGTTCGCGCTGTCCTGCCACGGATGCAGATAGATTTTATCTTTGATTTCATTACGATCGCTAACAAAAGCTTCTGTCGCGAGTAAAGAGCTTTTCAAATACTCTCCCTCTTTTTTTCATTTTCTCCCCTGCTCGGTTGCGCCGATGTTACATGAAACGCGGAGAGAAGGGGAGGGAGGAGATCGCTCAACGTGAAATAATCGCACAAGTTCCGGACGCATTAATCTTTCGACAAAACATTCGCACATGCGTGCGCGCACACATGCATACACGCGGCAACAGCACACATTGCGGCGTATCAACTCGGCATTACCCCGTCCAGGTCTTCTGCTAATCGTTAGTCAGATAGGCAGATCCCGGCAAATTGTAGCGGAAGAGACAATATAAATAAATGCCGAGGTCATTTATCTTAATACAGATACGTCGTGCGTAGTTTCCCGTTGAAATACAGACGGTGGCTCTTAAGTGAACTCGAGGCAAGTAAAAGGCAAACGCGAAACTGCAGGGACTAATAAAAGCGAAAAGATATCTAGACGAATTTGTTCCAGCCGTTTCCCGGTTTGTTTGCGACTCTTCGTGCGACTCGCAGACGGTAAACATCAACACGCCAAAGCGGACGTGATACATCTCCTCCGAATGAAGTAGCTCCAATAGATAAAAATAATAGAAATAACATCGATCAATCTGTCGCCAGAGGCACGGAGAGCACGGGCAGCAGCATGTCCTGCTCGAGGACGAGCTTGTCGGCGCAGGAAGAGTTCCCGAGTCCGTGGAAGCACCGAAGACGAGCGTCCACCTACAACGAGGCTCACGTGGAGAGAACGATCCAGACGTTGGGTTCGCCGAAGGCACCCAGAAAACGGTCCTTCAGCTTCCACGAGCAGTCGTCCTATCGCGAGGACGACTCGCGCAGGAAGTGCCAAGAGAGCAACAAGCCAGGAGGACCGATAACGCTACCGCCACCTTGCACGTGTCCTTATTTCGGGGAGTCCTCGAAGAAACCGCCGCCTTCCAGCGAGGTCGTCATCGTCTCCAGCGACACTATGAAACCTATCGGCAACAAGAGCCTGGAGACGGGCCTCTTGAGCGATTCTGTAAAGCCCGTCTGTGACACCACGAGGCTGCCCGCTGGTAACAAGAATCCGGAAAGGGGCGACACTGTGAGACCCGGCAGGAATTCGGAAACAGGTCCACAGGTTGACACCGTGAAACCCATCACCGGCAGGCACCTGGAAGTGGGTCTGCCGGCTCTCGGTAGAAACAACAGCGCCCGATCCGCGCACAACGCCAAAGGCGGCTACGAGCAGTTGCCCATGACGAACAGCGTGGTCATGTGGCGCGGCGGAAGGCGAGGCTCCAGCCTAGGTATGTCGTGATGAACGGCTCTCCTACGGTGACGTAACGCGAGCCTTCGATTAGCCTCGATAATTACCTCCGAGAGCTCTCTGTCTTTCTCTCTCCCTCTCTGTTTCTCTCTTTCACCCGAGCATCGCGTGCCGCCAACGTCCCGGTAAAAATTGCGGAAACGAGAGAGACAGAGAGAAAGACAGAGGCAGGAGAGAGAAAGGGGCAGGGGAGAAAGGAAGGTTGTTCTGCCGATAGTAGTTAGGTCGGTTTGGGGCGGAGGACAAGGGGGCGGATGAAACGGGGTTGCTCGGCGTTTCGCTTCGATCACCCTCTTTTTGCGGTCGCGAAAGCGGGGAGATTCGAAGACGTGATTCATGGTCGCGGGCGCATCCGATCATTAGCTCCCTCCCCTCCCCTCTCTTTCTCTCTCTCTCTCTCTCTCTCTCTCTGTCTCTCTTTTTCTTTCTCTTTATCTCGCCAGAATCGCTGAACTGAGACTCGCATGACTAATCCCGGAGGAGAGATCCTCCTCGCGTCGGAGATCCGTGGGATTTGAAAATTGCTAGGAAAAATCCCGAGAAGCTTCCGAGAGATCGCGGGCGCGAATAATTTTCCTATAATCGTGATGATATTCTCCACCTTACGTCATCAAGCTTTCAGTGCTTGCAGGTTTGCAGGCTTTTAGTTTCCAGTATTCAACACCTACGCGACGATCTCTAGAATCTCGAGCCTCGAAGTTATAGAGGAAGAAACTCAAAGACAGAGAAAGAGAGAGACTTCCCGGAATTTCACAATTCGGAATTTCCGCCCACAGGCAGCACCAGGACCCTGCTGACGCCCGGCACGAGGGCGACGCCGCTGCGACGCGCGGCAACGGTGCGGGCGCACAACGGCGCAACGGGTGCGAGCCTGACGCTGAAGCAGAGCAACCCGTCGTCGCCGAGTTTGCTGAGGGGACCAGGCCCAGGCGTTCGCAGCCATCACTCGCGCACCAGCAGCGTGATCTCGCGCAACAGCTCCCGCCACGGCAGGATCATCCGGCTGGAGCAGAAGGCGACGAAGGTGTTGGGCGTGGTGTTCTTTACTTTCGTGATCCTGTGGGCGCCCTTCTTCGTGCTGAACCTGGTGCCGGCCGTGTGCCCGGACTGTGAGCGGCGGATCGACCGCAAGTTCTACGACCTGGTTACCTGGCTCGGCTACGCCAGCTCCATGGTCAACCCCATCTTCTACACCATCTTCAACAAGGTCTTCCGCGAGGCCTTCAAGAAGGTGCTGCTGTGCAGGTATCGCAATCAAGCATGGCGGCCGGCCAGGTAGGCCCTGGGCCCCGGGAGACCGGGGATCGCCATCAGTAGGGTATGAACGTGACCGGAAGTAGAAGCGATACGTTTGGCTGCGTGTGTGGCTGCTGTGTGCGTGTGTGTATGTGTTAACAAAGACGACGGAGGACGTCACAAAAAAGACACAGGACGAAGGTAGGAACTCGAACGAATGGTGCTATTCTACTCGCGCGATTGGCTCGCTCTTATCGACGCCGTAACGAGGACTTTCGAGAGGAGGGTATTGGCTATCTGCTGGACAAAGCTTCAGTCATGAAGCTTTACGGAGATTGTTGACGAGCTCGAAACAATTCTCAGTAGAATCTTCCCGTTAGTCGATCATCCCATCGACGCGTTTCGCATTCGTGTAATGACGATCGTTTTAACGAACTGAAAATTGTTTGACGATAATCTTCTCTTACATGCGACTCAACACATATCGACATTACTATGTGTAATCACATATCGACGTTTAATGATAATTTCAGGATGTATGATATAAATTATATAAATTATCCTATTTTGATAATTTTATATTCGGAGTAATTTGCGCGTGTCTCCTGAAAGGATGTTTAATTGCAAAGTTCTCAGGCTGTTCCCAACTTAATTCAAATTGCGTGCTGCGAGATCTCTTAGAATTGCGCATATTGTCTTTACGTGGCTGATATACGTAAGAAATATCATTTAGCAGTCTGTTTAGAAGTCATTTTTGCGTTAATAATTGCTCACTCGATACTAAATTCGATCTCTCTCTTTCTCTCTCCCTCTTCCCCTATTTCGCTCGCTCTCTCTCTCTCTCTCTCTCTCTCTCTCTCTCTCTCTCTCTCTCTCTCTCTCTCTCTCTC